CCTGAAGGAGCACACAGTCCAGAGTGAGAGACAGCAAGCATGTAGTTACCTGACGAAGTGTTAGGATATAGGAGAGCTATGGGTAACCCAGGGGAGCAGGGGTGATGTGGCTAACTGGGGCAGGAGGACCTCGGCACATCCATCACAGGGGCAGGGTGTCTAATCTGGGTGTTGAAAGATGAGTAAGAATTTACCAGGCAGGCAAAGAACTGCAGGTAATAGAAGCATTCCACCTGAAGGGGATGTTTGCAGGTCTGCAGACACATGGGAGTCCAGAAAAGAACAAAATAGAGGACTGCGATGAGTTTGGCCTGACTAGAGCCCAAGGTGAGTATGAGGGAGTGGCAGACGAGGCTACAGAGATAGGCATAGGTCAGGTCATGCTGGGCTCTGCCTGCCATCCCAAAAGGTGGGACCCATGTTAGTGGTATTCAAACCCTGTTTAAACAGCAGAACCCTTCGGTCAAAACATTTTTAGCCAACTTCCCAATTATAAAACAGAGAGAAAAGTGAAGTGGCTTCAGTTAAATTGGATGTGAGAAGCTTAGCTCGTCCTCTCTCTTGGTCTCTCTTTTCCCCCTCCAGGTCACCCTTGAAGCAGCTCAGACATGGTCTGAGAACCATGTGCAGCAGGTGATAGTGGTGTGGATAGAGAGATGTGGCAGTGAAGGGTTTTAAAAAGCAATGCATGATTCCCAAGTTTCTAGCTTCATTTTGAAGGTGAAGGGTATGGAAGTGCTTGGTACCAAGTAGGTACTCAGTGAGAGAGCAAGAGAGAGAGAGCGAGAGAGAGCGAGAGAGCGAGAGAGGGAGAGAGAGAGAGAGAGAGAGAGAGAGAGAGAGAGAGAGAGAAAGATAATGGTAGGGGTTTGGGACCAAGGATATTGAGTTCCATTTTAGACAGAATGGGTTAAAGGAACTTTCAGAACCTCCCCATAGAGGGATCTAGTAGGCATGTGAAAATATGGGTGTGGGCTCTGGGCAATGGTGAATGCTGCAGTTAAATACTTAGGAGTTTTGATGTATAAGTGATTGAGTTGTGGACTTTAGTACAGCTGCCTAGAACTGTATAGGACATGAACAAAAAGTAGGCAGAGCTCTGGGGACCACTGACAATTAAGGGGAAGGTGGGAGAAAAGAAGCCAAAGAAGGGGACTGAGAGAGATGAGGGGAGGAAGCAGGTGAAAAAGGCAGCATTTCAAAAATCAGGTAAAGAAATGGTTAGGAAAGAAACATAAGCTTCAACATGTAATCGGTATTGAATAGTTGGTTGCCTGGAAATGAAAATGGAATAAAGGCATTTCATTGGCATAACATATTCCTTTTAAAATAAATCTGATGCATATTTATTTTTTCCAGAAGTACACACCCTTTAATATGTGAGTATAGATTAGTCTAGCGAAATAGCAGCAATTGTGCCCACAATGTAAACAACGTCATTGCTGTTTAGTGGACCTGGTGCTCTCTCCTCTCCAGAGAGCAACGAATTCTCTCAAATTTCTGCTCATCAGTCAAAATTTTACATCCAATTGAGTGTTCATTCTGAGTTTATAATGATTCTGTGACTGTGAATGCTTAGAAAGTTGTGTTTTGGTACACTGAAAATAATTTTTCTAAAGTGATGGGCTAATTTGAAATCTATAAATTTTTTTCTTGTTTTGATTTTTGGAGCCTAATTTGTAAGGCGTATTTCTCCCATTGTACCAGACACAGTGTCCTGCTCCACTGGGGATATGGGGGTGCGGGGGTGGGGGGCGGCTTCTAAAACCATTCATTATGGGGTGGACGCATGCACTCTAGTGGGGCTCGGTGGATGCTTATTGAATGAATGGATGATGTGCTATTGTCCCTCCTAAATATTAATCCACATCTCAAAGGTGTCTGTCATCGGCGAAATGAAAAAGAAAGCATTTTCAAACTCCTAACTGAGTGATTAGAGATGAAAACTACTGCTTGCCCTTTCTCTTTCTTGTGGGTACAGTGCTGTGCACACAGTGCTGTCCTCTGAAATCCCATCAGAGCCGCTGACTCTGTAAAAGCTTCTTGGAGCAAGTCTTTTCTAAAGAATCAGCCATACAACATGACCTTCGAATTCCCAAAGACGTGTATCTCTCAGATTATTTAACTTCTGGATCTAGTTTATGCTCTCAACAAATATTGATTGAGTGTCTACTATATGCTAGGCCCTGAGAAAATGCAGTGAATAAAACAATAGATGAGCCCGTTGTCACAGAGCTTACATTCCAGCCAGAGGGCTCGGGCAATAACAAACAAGGATATAATGTGTGCCAGCGGCGATGAGTGCTAGGAACAAAAATAAAGCAGGGAGAGGGGGGTGAAAAGTGATGGGGGAAGGGCTGCTGTTTTAGATTGGATGGCTAGGGAAGCACAGGTAAACTGAGGCCGAAAGGAGGAAAGACAGTCTGGGCGGAGAGCACTGCTGCACGCTTAGTTGCAGTCCACTAGAGCTCACCCCAGCCAATAAGAGGGTGCGGTGTAGGGAGCATGTGCTTTGTAAATGCAAGCGTCAACCCAACCAAGAACCTGTAAACATTATGATAAATAGCTTAGATAATAGCTATTAAAAATCAGCTCTTCCGTTGTAACTATAAGACAATGTTTGCAGGTAAACTTAAAATAAAATGACTTCCATTATTCAAAAATCCAGAATGGCAACCAGCTCTTAGAATGGCAACCAGCTCTTAGAAATGACTAAGTGACCTACTATTTATTCCCTTTTTAAAAAAAAAAAATGAGGGACTTTTGCTCCCTTGCTGAGACCATATGTTTATATATCTAGTTTCACATCAAAATGAATTTTTGCTGCTAAGTTTGAAAACCGCCTGAAAAATTGCAATTAACATTGAAAAAGCTGACAGAACCTTAAGTGTAATGGCGTGATTGGTGCTGCTATAATTATGTGCCTGAGTGTGTACATGTCCATGTAAAACACAGTTTGAAAACACTTGGTATCTGGGAGTATATCAGTGTATTTTCTTGCAGGTGAATGATGGAAAGAGAGTGAAAGGGAGAGAGAGAACTGATAGAATTTCTATAGTACTTTAGGTGGTATAGGCATTTCTAGCCTCACATCTACTTAACCTTGTTTTTCAAATTATTTTCATATTCGTCGCCTCATTTTGATTCTCACAACTTCCTGGGGGTGTGGGGGTTGAGGGTAGGTAGGCTTTGTTCTCCCATTTGGTGGATGAGCTAGGATGACTTGAGTTTCTCATCTGCGAATGAGAAGATTGGATGAACTTCATCTCCAAGGCCCCTTCTAGTTCGACAGCTCTATGACTTTCTGATTTTCCTGAGGTAGCACAGCTGTTCAGTGGTGGAGGCCCTTTAAGTCCAAAACCCTTCCTGCCACACAGTTCTTCCTTGTATTCAACTCCCCCGCTGCCTGTTTATTCATCTGTAAATTGTAGGGTCTCCCATACAGGGGTGTTGAGAACATTGTTGAGGGGATTAAAGGGAAGGTTGAAGCACCTAGCACTGTGGTAGCTATCACTATTGTTGTCATCACTAGTACTGCTAAGGAGGTGATGTAGTAGAAAGGAAAGAGCAACAGCTTTGCGGTCTGGTGAGTTTCCCATCATTTACCAGTTGGGTCATCATGGTCAATTATTCAACCTTTCCAAGCATCCTATAAAATGGAGCTGATAATCCCTACGTTGCTGGCAGTTTGAAGACTAAAGCAGACACTTCTCCCAGTGTCTGACATATACCACTTGCTCAGTTAATAGTTGGCGGGTGTGTAGTCACGGGACATGGAGTACAGTCTGTGAATGGAGTCAATGGACTGGTAATAGATAAGTATGATATCGGAGGTGGGAGGGCAGTGGATGAGGGGAGGGGGGTTGTTACTTTGTGAGGGGTGAAAAGGATAACTATTGCATTGTTCTGTACACCTGAAACTAATAATAAAAAATAAAAAATAAAAAAATAAAAGTAACAGTTGGTGGGTGTGACGGGTAAACCACCTTGCATAAGAAACTGAGTTAGACTTCCATGATGCCCTCAAAACCGGAAGCGGTATTTCATCAAGGTGAAAGGCAACCTTGAAATTCACGGAAGCATACAGTTATCTTTTAAACAAATACTGTAAAAAGAAAAGAAGATCCTGAAGTTTAGCCATTCTGTGCCCACTGAAGAGGGCGAGGAAGAATCCTCATGGGCCCAGTAGTTAGCAAGCAAATGGTCATTGCGGAGTTTCATGTCAGATAATCTTCTGAAATTTTGTATATATTTTATTCAAGTCCTCTCATTCTCGCCACGGCAGCAATATTATGAGGTTGTGCAGTTTACTTAGAAAAGCCTGCTTACCCTCACTACACCACTTTCTTTGAAAAGCAATCATTTGAGTGCTGTGAGGAGCTGCCCGGCTATAATGATGACAAAGGATTCAATGAAGATGGAAACCAAGATCCTTCTAGCCTCGTCCCTGACAGTGTGGTCACAGAACAGGCTGGTGGCAGGAATGAAATGTGAAAATTCTCTTTAGGACTTGCAGTTGCTTCTCTCTATGGAGGATTTCTTGGTACTTAATTTTCAGGGCATAACAACTAACATTTATAGGCATCTGTTGCCACATGCACTGGAGCTGGACTGTGGATGTGTTGGCAGCTGCTGAGGAGTCACAAGGTGGCTGCAAGCTCTGGACCAGCTGCTCTAAAACCTAGTCGATAGTTTAAACCTATGGACCCAAAAGAGGTGTGTATTGTACAGAATGTCAACTCTTGAGTCACATTTTGTTTATTACATGCATCGTTTGAAAAGCAGCTGGCCATTTGAATATGAAATATATGGTTTTTTCTCATTTGATGTGTATCTATCCTTGAAATTATTCTCATTGTGAATGCCCATCCTGTGTGGACAGTTCAAGAACAATTGAGTTTTCTACCTGAGAGCAGTAGGTTAAATGCTTTGACCAATGTCTTTTCTGTTTGGTTGCCTTCCAATTTTAAAATGTGTACATTTTCATTTTACTGTCCTAGGGGAAAGCCATGGTATTCGCCCCACGCCGAGGAAATACTTTAAACCAGTTTTGCAATCTAGCTGAAAAAGCTGGTTTCTCTGTCCAAAGACATGAAAATTATGACGAACACATTTCAAACTTCCACTCCAAGGTTAGTTTTCTGCTTGTGTTAGATAACACTTTAATCCGCATTGCATTTTGAAGAGATCATGGTCTTTTTGGCAGGTAACCTAAATATTTGATTAAAGCACTTCTTAGGTGTGCTGCTTCTGAACAGCTATTTGTATCTGATTATTTTGTGTGGTAAAGCCATCTTTTATCTTTGCTTGTCTAGAAGGATTTTACAGAAACCATTCCTGTTTACTCTTTTCTCTAAAACAAAGTAATCTTTTCATTTATAATAGACTAATGTGTAATATGCAGGGTAGGTGGCATAGAATGAATGATAAACAAGCATTTATATTTTGATGAAAAACCTTCGGGCTTTTAAGTAGGTTAAATGCTTAGCTGCACTGAAATAAATAGAAGGTGAATGTCTAATTGTATCATGTTGGACTGTAAATCTTTATCTCTGCTTGCTTGATGGCTGGGTCAGCTGGCAGTTTGAGACTGTTAAATCTCATACAAAATTTCACAGTTGTGAGGTTATATGTCAGAGCGAGTCGCTACAAGATTTAGGTCAAAAGCTCTTAGATCTGAGAGTGATGTCTAAGCTTGCTTACATAAAGCAATGTTATCAGCCTTTTTATTATTTATAGGTGTACAGCAATATCGGACACTGAGAAGCAAGCGTTCCACCGAAAACTTTTTAGGAATCTCACGTTGGCTAATGCACATCACAGTTACTAGCATACCGTGTATTACTTATGTAATTTTGTGCCTTACAGAAATTGCCCTTCTCTGAACTAGTCTGACCTTGGCAAGAGACTTTCACTTGTCATGATTTTGTAAGTTGTGACTGCAGGAAAGTAAAGGCCTGACCTTTTGTTGTCCTGGAAAAATGTGAAAAGCGTTCTTTATTTCCCAGGACTATGGTATAATGTAGAAGTGTGCCGACTTTTGAAAAATTATACACAAAGTGAATCTGATCTTCCCAGCAAGAAAAAGGAATTTCTCACTTTCTGGAAATGGGCTCTCTTCTTTGGGTCTCTAGGGCTCCGTTTAGCCCCTAGGAAAGAAATGATGCTTTGTGAACTGAAAGGGTTAAATCACTTCCTCTCACTGGTGGAGTCAGGTCTTATGCTTACAATTAGAAAATTAAAACAGAATGGCATGTTATTTAAATCTTATCTGACTCTCTAGAATGATGTTTTACTTTCTCAACCCCTCCCCAGAACAAAGGGAAATGGCTCTGGGGACTTCACCTGGTGGGGGAAGGGTCCTCCTAGCCCCTTGAGCGCCTCTATTATCCGAAGGGAAAAAATGAGCCTTCTCTCCAGGGTTGGGCTAGAGCTACAGGATCAGTTGATGGCTGCTTCAATGTCATGTTCACTTTCCCCCCAGAACAACCAATGCTTTTAGTTTCTCAGCCACGACTCAGCAGAGCCAAGGGGTGGGTCTCTCCACCAGCAGAGAAGTTCAGCATTGGACCTGACACCCGGACAGTCTCCTTTCTGCAAGATTTGAAGTGTGTTGGGACATGTGAGGCATTCAAGGCCTTGGCGGCCACCTTTCCTTTGTGTAAAACTTGAGATTGTCAGCACCTAGTGGACAGCAACTTCCTCTTTTTATTTTCAATTTAGACTGCCCTACTAAGCACAGTACTTTCCATAAATCACTAGACATGCCACTAACATTTATATTGATAGATTTATATTGATACCCACAGTTAGTACTCCATAAAGAACCATGGACTGACTGGTCCCTCAAAAATACATTTCCAAAAATAACTAAGTGGCCTTAGTTTGTATTTCTTCATAATTGCTTAAAAGTTGAAGTCCCACCTTGCAGAAATCGGACTAGGAAGCATTTCCCCTCCTCTTTCGGTTGTCGTGGTGAGGAGTGCAAGTTTCATTTTGTTCTCGGGAAGTAGAACCCTAGGGGGGATACTCTGCAGAGCTGACGTGCCCTAGGTAAATGCTATAAACGTGCGCCCATGATGTTTACTTTTAACAACGAGAGCAGTTGCCGCTGGTTTGGTGTCGTGCTTCTAGCAAAAGAACGCCTCTTGCCCCTTCTGGACCAGACGCTCGAATGCCTGGCTTTCCTGCTTCCCAGCGATATAACCATGTGCTGGCTGGACGTAGCCAGACCCCGATGGCCCACTCCAGCTCGCACGTGGAGTTCTCTGCAAGACAAGAATGCCCGGGCAGGATCTTTCCCACAGGCCCGACTATGAGCCGCGGGGCCAAGCTGTGGGGAGTGGGGAGCGACCCAGTGCTCTTCACTGGGGCGCAGGGACGGCGGCCGAAGCCAGCACCCGGCTCCCCTCGGGGCCCTGCCCGCCGCCCGCCTGCCCGGGGCTCGGGGGACGTGCAGGGGCCGGCACGGCCGACGGGAACCTCCACCCTGGCCGCTTTTGTTTGCCGCGTGCTAATAGCCAAGGCTTAAAAGTTTTCCATCTTGAGCGGCAATCAGCTTTCTTCCTCTCCATCTCTGGCCAAACCCCCATGGTCCCTGCGACGAGCTTGCTCCCAAATGGAGGAGCAGCATTTTCCTTCAGGCTGCGTGTTATCCTCTTAGCCGTACTGTGTTGGAATAGAGCGTAACCAGCTGGAGGACTGTAAGACGCCTGATAATGCCGCTCTTTTCCGCTGTCCCGTCTTAATCTTGTTACACAAATGGTTGTGAAGAGATTCATGAATTTTAATTTTGCCCTCTGCCTTAGAGCCTCACGTCACTCATACACAGCTGCTTTCTATGCCGAGTTTTTTCACCCCTCCTCTTACAACAGGGGAAAAAAATTAGTTACAATCTTGGCAGTAGTGCAAGGTAAAAAAAAAAAAAAAATCTCCAGATTTAGGCAACCACCCATGAAGCTGATTAACAGTCAGTGATCAGGAGGAACAGCTTTGCCTCTTAAACTTTTCACCTCTCATTGTTAACTGTGAAATTTTATTTCCGTTAAAAAGCAAGCCTGTAATCAAAACGGTGCCATTCTGCACTTTTTTTGCCAGTGCTTTTGTTAGATTGTGCCCACACCATGCAGCCAGCATGCTCAGGAACCAGGCAGCCAAAGGTGTACTATGTTTTTTAAAATATTGCCTTTCTGTTCATTCAGGCAAACAGGAGAAAAAAAATAATAAAACACTTCCCTCTCCCTACCCAACCTCTTGGTCTCCCCCAGGCTGGGGATCAAATGCATTGCCCGATGATGTGTGGCTCAAAAGCTTTAAGGATGCGAAGATGGCAAATTGTTTAGCAAGGTAGAGACCTGACTCAGAGATTACAGCTGGCTGGAAATTAGTTGATAAAACTACTCTCATTCATGCAAATATTCTTTGAAATATAATTTTACATGCCATAGGTGGTTTGTTGTTGTTGTTGTTGGTTTTTAACTTTTGCAAAACCACCCATGTGTTTATTTTCTGTATTTTTGTACTTAGCCATGAAAATCGGCTTGGGCTCGGCTGTGAAGTCAGTACATTGTGTTAAAAGCACGGCCATATTGCACTTCTGCTTATCTATTCAAAATGCCACATTACAAGTGGCTGGTGCTTATAATCTGTGTGGTGTGCTGTTGATAATTGTGGATACTGTAAAGGGTAAACAGTCTGAACTCCACTCCCGCTGCTGCTGTTCACGCCGTGGCAAGGCTGAGCGTGTTACATCCAATTAGAAAGTAAAGCATAATGTTACTAATAGCAGCCATATAATTTAGTTCAGTCCTCAAAAGACCCTGTTTTAACCTATGAAATTGGAAAATTGTTTTATTCACAATTTGCTTTTTGTTCATTTTTTTTTCAAGGTGATTTTTATTTCTTAGAATTATAATTATTAATTGGGCGAAGAAGGGCAGCCTAGGTAAACGGAATTATTCTTAAACCATGTAATGTTCCCCCCCCATTGAAGCAAGTATTTCCTAACAGCTTTGTGTGTGTTCAAGTACCCTCACGTAACAGGCTGGATTCAGAAATGATCTGGTGCTGGGGTGTCTGTCGTGTTGCCTTTGCGGGTTGTGGGCTCTTCCCCATTGTCAGAAGGCCTCACAGTCGTCCCCCGGCTGGCCCCTGGCCCCTAGCAGCAAGGAAGCCTCTGCTTTGGCCTCCAGAAGTCAGCATAGAATCCAAGTTAAAAGTGATTTCTAACCCATATTTACAGAAGAAGTATTTATCCCACATATTACCTCAGGGACTTTATAAAGAGCTCATTTGAGTCTGTATATTAGTGCATTGTGAGTGAGTAGGTCAGCTGACTCACGCTGAGTAATCAACTTTCCCTTATCCCCAATCCCTGAGGAAGAATTTTGCTAGCGTGGCCTCCTCTTCGCTCTGTAAAATATTTCAGTGAGCTTCTATCACAAAGGCAACTGGCGACAAAGGTATTTACAGTTGGCCGGTCCCTGTTAGTGGGTTTGGTCTGGGAAGTTTGTGAAGCCATTTTCTTGGCATTATTATTATTATTATTATTGATATTGAGGGATGTGTGTTTAAGATTAACACTGTTGCTATTTTGGTAGCAACAAAAATCCATCAGGCTGTATCTAAATAGGCAATTAATCATCTGTAAACAGAACAAACTCCATCTAAGAAAACAGAATGAAGTCACTTCAGTGATTGTTCCACCATCAAATCTTAGAAAAATGGATTAGAAAGTAAAAACTGGGTTTCCTTTTCCCCGGTAGAAAAGGAAAAGCATGCTCACTTCTCCTGTCCTTAATAGTGAGAGCACATCACAGTTTGGGAATATGATTTAGAAGAAATATGCCCTTTGAAAAGATTCAAGTTATGCTCCAGACCTACTAATCCAGGACAGTGACATGTTGGAGCCATTCACTTAGCTTCGGGGCGGGCTGTGAGTATGTGTGTGTCTGATTTGAAACAATAAGGGAATTGGATTTATGTATAGTTAAAAGAAATATTTATTTCTGATTCTTAATTTAAAAATGAATTAATGATTGGCTCAGAACACACCAGCTTAAAAAATATTAATATTGTTTTTATAAATGGCAAATTATTTGCTAGAATACGTAAAAATGTGACCATCAACATTATTCTAGCCAGATGAGGAAAAATGTCCTTTATAGACTTGAGAACTCTGATCAAATTTTAAAATCTATCATGAGAAGGCCCTGAAAACTTCACCTGGGTAGTAAGTAGTAAAGGTTGCTGCTCTAGTTGTTGGAATATGTTTTTCTCCTTAAAGAAAAGAATTTTTGAATTCCTTATCATTAATATTAAAATCCCTAAGAAGCAGCTGGAGAGTTTTTGAAATGTCTTAGGGTCCACAAGCCTTTTTCTTGTGCCCAGGTGATGCCACAGTCTCCACACAGTGATCTGAAAGGCCTGCCTGCTTGATGCCTGGGACCCTGGCAGAGGGCAGAGAGGACCAAGAGCAGAAACTTCCATGCCAAATGTCTGGTCTGGGGAATCAGACCCCAGCTCCCCTTTTCCTGGAGTGCCTCACAGTTCATGGAGGTCACAAAAGCAGTGTGGTTATTTATGAAAAAAAACACCCTCCCCACACCAAAATAAAATAAAATAAAAAGATTCTCATCTTGATGCATAGTATTGTCATGTCAGTGCCACTGAGTACTACCCTGAGTTGCTTTTTTGTGTGTGTGATTTATTTTTCCAGAACAATATATTTAGGTGAGAAGTCTTCATGATACTCAACATTAAAATCAACTGGTAAAAAATCCTAATCTGAGTCTCCTTACCTTTTTTTTTTATTATTGTTTTCAGTTGAAAAAGGAAAAACAGGGCATCTATGAAGAAAACCTTCATTACCCACTTCTGCTTATTTTAACCAAAAGTGGATAGAAGATTAAGCTGCTCAAAAGATGAAGAAAGCATCAAGTACGCAGGGGATATTGTACAAAACCAGAAAGCTGTCATGGGGAGAGAAGGCATCAAGCCCTTGGTCCTCTGAGACTTGCCAGCGCCCAGGACTTGCATCCCAATCACCTTTGCGACATTCCACGTGGGGAACATGGAGCCCACCTGTCCTCACCCACATTATTCTCCAGCCATCCTGGATGCCTCTTGTTTTCAGTCTGCTTGTTGCTCTTCCGCGCACCAAACCTTTGTTTGTCTTTAAAATGTCTATAAACAGCTTGTCTAAGATTCGGGTTGTGAGCACCCTACATGTTTTTACAGCTAACTGAGACAGAATTTCTTTTGGTGACTCCCACCCCCCACCCCCTTTTAAAAAATATTTTGGTCTTTGTTCCATTTTTGTGGCAGTCGTGTTTCATCTGTAAATATAGCAAGCACCATGATTCTGTCCTGGCGAATAAAAATATAGCATATCTTTCTGATCTCCCTCAAATTAATTGTGTTAACTCTGCCATCTCTTTTTCTGTCTCCCTCACGCGTTCTCTTTTTTTTTTTCTTCCTTTTAAACAGGATGTTTTTTCCCCCTATAGATGTATAAGAAATGACTACATCAGCCCAGAGCCTCATAAACTGACCGTTTGTCCTCTGGACACAATAGCATGGCCAGCCCTCTGCTCCTCCTCTCCAATTATGTGTGATTAGTCTCAATGTGTTATGTCAAGGAGGCGGAGTGTGCTGAGTGCTTATTATCTGTTTAGGTACAAGAAGAGCACATTTAGGCTCTGCCTATGAATGAAAAGTGAGCCTTTATCAGGGCTCAAATCTAACTGCTGCTATTCTCCAGGCTTCTTTCAAAACAGGTCCTTTCCAGAGAAATTTTGGATGAATGGTTGATAAGCTAGATTGCAAGCAGGGGGAGATTTTAAAAACCACAATCACACAATTATCTTATTTAAAGTAAGTATGCAACGTTTTATGCTGCGATTCAGGTGTATAGTAAACATTTAATAGATGCTACCTAGGATTAAGAGAGAATGACTTTTCCGCAGGGAACCCAAGCATATCCTTGCCTAGTGCACCCACGAGATGCTCTAATGCCTTTGTGGAAATTCAGATGTTTATCTGTAAGGAATCATCTGTGCCCACTTTAGCAGTAATGCCATTAGCAGGTTAGCTATATATTGGGTTGTCGGAAAAGTCATGACGTATTTTTTTCTCTGTTTTTCATTGCAAAAATGCATCATGACTTTTCTGACAACCCAATATATCCTTATATCTTTAGTAGAGGCAAAGGGTGTCTTTAGTGTGATACAATTAAAGTGATAGGTGGGAGACTGGAAGGGGGGGTGAATTATTTTGCATGTTAAACAAACTTAGCTGTCATAATAAACACAGCGACTCTCAAATGTCTTCTCTGCTCCCTTCTATCATCAAACAAATTTTTCACCATCAGTTTGCATGTCCTTGTATTCACCACTTTTTCTGCTCCATTAGAGCACCTAGATGGATCTCGGAAGGCATAGGTCAAGTCGCAGTTAGATCATACATTTCTTTCTCACAAAAACTTGAATTGCAATGCCAAGTGATGGGCTAACATCACAATAACAGCAATTTATTCCTCTTTGGATAAAACAGCAGTCTATTCTCAGTGCTAGATAAAGACTAGGGCAATGCAAACCAGCCATTTAGCTGAGTAGTTCAGCTAGTGGCAGCTCTCCTTTGGCGACTGTATAGGTTGCACACTGGCTTCATATTTTCTTGTTTAAAAATTAGAATTTGGAATGTTTTAAAAGGCAACGCAGGTAGTTCACTTTGTACTGGTGAAAATACAGCAGGAATTATTTCTTCTGTAAAACCTGCAACCAAATCTGCCAGACAAAGAAAACCCATCCCTGTAGCAGCACCTAAGATGGTCTATTCTTTCTTTTTTTCTTTTAAAATATAGAACAGCAGAACCATGAGAATATTTTCATTTTTCCTCATGAAAATACATGAATTGGCAAGAACTCAATTTGCATTTGTGCATGATGGGTGTAGAAATCCAGTGTTTATTTCTCTGAGAGAAATTGTATTTTAAAAAGTAAACCGGTAATGCTATTTTTTCCCCCCAGTATATGAGAATCATGTGTAGAGTTACCTAAGCTTGGGACAGGGTGTAAGAACTGAGCTGTTCCTACCAAGAGATACTTAGTAAAAAAAAATAAATAATGTGCTTATTGTATGATTAAAACCTAGAGAATCTCCTGTACAATAGTACAGGTTTCATAGATCTCCTCTTTATGGGATCCTCACCTGGAAATAGCTCTAGTCTAGGCTCTTTGGAAGTTTGTGAGAAACTAATGCTGTATATTATGGAATAATGTAAAAGTGTTTTTTATTTTTCTCAAATTTAAATGAAATCCCAATATTGAGAAAGAGGAAATATAGCTGCTTTAGGAAGTTTAACCACTTACATTTCTTTTGAATTTTATAATTAAGAATTATTTCTATGTATCAGTATCGGGTTGTATAATTGCAATTGAAATGGTCCATTCCGTAACTGTCTGTTCTGTAATTAGGTGTGTGTTTGTTTCAAAAAGAAGCCTATCTGCTTAGAAAATCGTAAGAATTATTATGATAGTCCTTCCCCACATACTCGTATCTTCTGATAAAACTCACCATTTCCCTTTGTCATACTAAGTAGATCTGGTTGAATGAAAGAATGTTTCAAAGATCGCCCATGGTCAGTTCTAATGTGGTGATATGAGCAGCCACGTAAAAGTTGGTTATAAGAAGTATATTTTATTTTCTAGCAGGACATATGCTGTGAATTGGGATAAAAGTGCTAGAAAAGACTACCCAAGAGGTTGATGCTATTTTGTACAAATTGTATATTTTGTTGGCTTTTTGACTGAGCATGAAAATGTAACTTCCATTAGGGAAGGGTAATTTAGGTGCTCACTATTCAGCAGAAAACTTGTCGGGGCCATAAAAGCTTTTCTGGCTGGTTCCTCGGGTGTTTTCAGAGAAGAGCTGCCCGCCCCTTGCTGATTTCCCCTTTGGCTTCGGTATGGGCTGAATTTACCACTGCATACCTGTTGAATCAATTTGGGGGATCCAGCAGTTAACTGAGTGAATGGAAGGATTAGTGGGCCCTCTGGAGCCCTACTGCAACAGCCAGGTGCCTGTCCCAAACTAGTTAACTGCTTTTGACAGTTAAGAACCTGGTTTTAATACCGTAGGCAGGAGGTTGCTGTGGCGGTGTGATGTGTTGTGCTGTTTTCCTTCTTGACACCGTCAAAGCGGGGCACACCTTCCCCTAAGGGTTAGACTTGCTTTTTGATTTTTTTAAAATAGGAATGGACTGCCCCCTTCCCTCAAGACAGCTTCCATGGAGTTTATCTTTGTTCTTAGTCGGCATTTGACTTGATTCCAGTCTATGCCAAACAATTTGTTGGTGGCATTGTCCAGTGGGACCCTTTCGTTGGGCTCTGGAGAGGGGGGCAGGATGCCCACGTGGGAATCAAAATACAGCAATACCTTGGTTTGCGAGCATAATTCATTCCGGAAACAAGCTACTTATATTGCAAGACATCGCTCGTTTACCACATTAAAATGTATTAGAAATGTTTGCTCGTCTTGCAGAACACTCGCAAACCACGTTACTCGCAATCCAAGGTTTTACTGTATGTGTTGACACCCATACACACACGCACACTTACAGGGGAGATTAAGCTGTGTAGACCCTAGATCTGGGCTCCAGCTCTGAGACTCCACCCCAGATCAAAATCTCCTGAGTTCACACTGTATGAAATGTCATAATTAGGCTGATTGTGTCCCATAGAGGAAAGATTGATTTGAAAATCAGACTAGGTCTCCTTAGAAACTGAATTTCGACAGAGGGCAAATGTGTTGTCCTGAGCTGCCTGTTTCCAAATTAGGAAGGAGCCTGTTGGTGTTTAACAAACCATTAAGCCTGAAATGCCACTTTTAATGCTCAGATTTCATTTTACCCAGAGTTTTCTGCCTAGGCTGTTGCTAAACGCTCACTGTGTTCTCTGCCCTGGAAGTCTTTGCATTTGGAGTCTATATTTTGCCTTTTTTTTTTGTCCCCCTGACTTTTCAATTAATACATTTTTTAATAGATAAAACAGCTCATACTGTGACTTTTGAAATGTCAACAAGCTTGTGAACAGAAATGTAATAAAATGGCTAATAGGAGATTCAATAGTTAATAGAAGCCCTGAAGTGTGAGCAAATACAGTAGCTGTATATTGGAAACTGTGCAAGTGAAGATGGCTTTAGCATTGCAAACTGAGGAAGAAAATTGTTTTTAATTAGCACCTTCATAAGAACTGCTGATTAATACTGTTTTGTTTGGTGAAAAGCTTTCAGCTGAGTAATTTGTACAGCCATTACAACAGTTTTGTTAGAGCGGGACTCCTGTTGTTAAACACAAACAGCAGATGATAATGGTGGAAGATGAGTTTGTCATGTAACAATTTACCTTATTGAAAAAAGCTTTATATAAAACCCAATACAGTAGGTACCAGCAGAAATCACATATTTTAAATCCTTCCAAAATTGCAGTGTGCCATGCTTGTGTTTCTTTTTTTTTTTTCCTCCTGGGACTAGAAGCAGATTTTATATCATTTATAAAATTATATACACAATTTAAAGGTGGTGTAGCATGGACAGACCACTTTCTCAGTGATGGTTTACATCAGCGCTGTAAAGTGCCTGTGTATTCAAACACTTTCTAACTACACAAAGCAGGTCAGAAAATGGAATCCTAATTAAATAATGTTCCTCGGATGTAAATTTACATTGGGACTGGATGCAGGGAAATAAGAATTGGTGTTTCTGCCTCAGGTGGGTTTATCACACATAGGATCTTTAAAAAAAATCTTTCTCAAGGGAAGTTTAATTAACCTTTTTTTTTTTTTAATTTTTATCCTGGAGGTGTTTTAACAGACCAGGGAAGAAAAGAGTGTCCACTGAATGAGACCTGACCTGGCAACAAGAGGCTGATTTCAGTGAACTCCCATCAAACGGATATCGCGCTAACCAGACGCATGGGAACTTTTTTCTTTTTAAATAAAATGCAATGGTAAAGCATATTTGCATTAAAATATTACACTAACCAAAGCTGGTAAGAACTGTGAATTATTGGAGTGGCGTAATAGAGCATGAGATTTTTTTTTTTTTTTAGACAGGCCTTCGGGGTAATAACAAGGGTTGAGGCTCACGACAGTGCCAAATAAGCTTTAGACAGCATAATAGTCTGCAAAGAAAGCCGCAGAGCACTAATGTGAAGGAAGAGCTGTCCACCACATGCAGCAAAAATCACCAAAGGTCATTTTATGGTAGCAATTGTGACATAAAATTGGTGGTCATGCTACATGTCTAATACTCAGCACAGCTTTATAAATGATGGGCCCCTAGCGATGGCTGTCATTAAGTGCTTTCATCATAATAAACTTTAAACTGTTGGCT